TTATATGATATTGTACATATACTTAAATTTAGAGAGAAATGGTTTTTCACTCAAAGGGAAACGGTTCAACAAGAAGAAATGAAAGAAAAAATAAAAATATATATATAGATATATACATATAATCTATTATATTATATTGTACATATGCTCAAATTTAGAGAGAAATGGTTTTTCTCTCAAAGAGAAGTGGTTGAACAAGAAGAAATGGAAATAAAAAATAAAAAAATATGTATAGATATATACATATAATCTATTATATGATATTGTACATATACTCAAATTTAGAGAGAAATGGTTTTTCTCTCAAGGGGAAATGGTTTTTCTCTCAAGGGGAAATGGTTTTTCTCTCAAGGGGAAATGGTTTTTCTCTCAAAGGGAAATGGTTTTTCTGTCAAAGAGAAATGGTTCAAGAAGGAAAAATGGAAAGAAAAAATAAAAATATAGATATATAAATGCAATCTATTATATGATATTGTACATATACTTAAATTTAGAGAGATGCTTTTTTTCAAGGGAAAATGGTTCTTATTTCAAAGCGAAATGGTTAGACCGTATCGCTTTGTCCACAAAGTAATTGATGTCGTGGAAGAAGTATCACGCTAGCGTTATTTTCTAACACTAGTTTCATGTGCAAATTCAAGTAAATAAATTTTCTTTTGCTGTTAATTTTTAGTTGGATAATCGAGAAGGACATTATCTATCGTATCTATTTTTGAATGATAGCGAATGGTTAACTCTGTTTATTTACTGTTTGTAAGTTAACAAGTAACTTTTAGATATTCATCATTAGTTGAATTGGAAGTTATAAGATTGAATTTCCATTCAATCGAACTTTTTATGCATAATTATTTTTTTATATTGTGATGCAATAGTGCTTTGTAGATCAAATATGTTAGCGAATACTATGAATCCAATGGAACGATTTCGAACTAATCTGAAAGTGGCTTGCAAGCTAAAAATTGAACCAGAAATGTGGTTTTCTCAAAATTTAGCAAATTATGTTCGGCATTTAGCATCATACTACCAACTTGATGCACATACCATGGTGTTGGCTATTATAAATGGTGTGACTACGACGTGTCGTTCTACCTATGTCAATCGTACTTCTCATTTTCTAGTACCATGCAACTTATACAATCTCGTGGTTGCTCGTTCAGGTTGATATCGATTTTGTACATTATATTTTTAAATGTTGACGAACATAATTTTCGTTCATTAAAATAGAACTTGATAGAGAGATCGGTAAAGAAGAAAAAAAGACCTAAAAAATGTTTCTCGAATAGAAAAAATTTCTGTTCATCAATTATATGAAAGAAACTAGATTATTAGTAAACTAAGCTTTATTTTTCTGGAGAGTAAATAAAAAAATTGTATCTCTTACTTTCAAATTTTGATATTTTATTTAATTTAAGAAATATGTATGCAGTCAACGTGTCCAAAACTGATAGTGATACCTACAGATGTAATTATCGGGAAAGGGACATTTCGCATTACCTTTTCATTACGATTTCCTGTCCAAAATTAATAACGAACTCCCGTCAAACATTTTTTGGGACAAAATCTCATTTCTGAACACCTGGACACATGTCGGGAGTTCGGAATGATGTGGTGCGAAATGTCTGTCACCCTAATTATCTTGCAATCTTTCTCTCTTGTAGGCTAAAATATATTAGAAATAATCGATGATAAACTTCATATTAATTAAAAACATTCGTTTTATTGCTTTTCTAGGTTATAGCAAATCAAATATATTAGATCTGGCGGAGTTAATGGGTGAAACAGCTGCAATTTATTCTCCTCAATTCGGAGATAATAAAGAAGTAGATGAGTCAATTGAAGAAAATATTTTTGAACAATTAGGATCATCTGCTGCAGTAAGAACAACAGCAACAAAAAATTTATCGAAGTCAAAAAATTTTCGACGAAGTCTAACAAAAATGGTTTTCAACGATGGAACACCAGCTGGTATTTTGAATAACTTAAAATGCATTTCCACTACAAACAATTCCTACGATAAAAAACTAATATGATCCATTTCTCTTTAAATATTTTCGACTTCTGCTTATGAGTGGAGATATGTATAAACGATTTCCGCTTGAAAAATAAGTATTGGGCCAATTTGAAAGTGAGTTGGATGCTAAAAATTGAACCAGCAATGTGGTTCTCTCAAAATTTAGCGAATTATATGTCGCACTTAGCATCATCATACTAACTTGACGTACACGTCATGATTTTGGCTCTTATAAATCGTGTAGCCACTGTGCAAAATATATTTTCCGTATACACTCGTTAAAAAAGAACCGCGTCTCTATCTGCTAGAAGATTTACTTAAAATTAAAAAAAAATATTAATTTCTCTTTGAATATTTTCCATTTCTCCTTATTAGTGGAGAAATGGCTGGACCACTTCACCTGGTATTTTAATCATTTCTGCTAGGAAAAATCGATATCTGCTTGAAACTTTCCTTAAGATAAAAAAGAAAATTATTGATTTCTCTTTCAATAATTTCCATTTCTCCTTATTAGTAGAGAAATAGATGAACCAGTTCAACTGATATTTTAATCATTTCTCCTAGAAAAAATCGATATCTGCTTGAAGCCATCCTTAAGATAAAAAAAGAAAATTATTGATTTCTCTTTCAATAATTTCCATTCCTCCTTATTAGTCGAGAAATGGATGAAGCATTTCACCTGATATTTTAATCATTTCTGCTAGGAAAAATCGATAATTGCTTGAATCTCTCCTTAAGATAAAAAAGAAAATTATTGATTTCTCTTTCAATAATTTCCATTCCTCCTTATTAGTGGAGAAAGGGATGAAGCATTTCACCTGATATTTTAATCATTTCTGCTGGGAAAAATCGATATCTGCTTGAAACTCTCCTTAGGATAAAAAAGAAAGTTATTGATTTCTCTTTCAATAATTTCCTATTCTTCTTCTGAGTGGAGAAACGGATGAACCATTTCGCCTGGTATTTTAATCATTTCTCCTAGAAAAAATCGATAATTGCTTGAATCTCTCCGTAAGATAAAAAAGAAAATTATTGATTTCTCTTTCAATAATTTCCATTCCTCCTTATTAGTGGAGAAAGGGATGAAGCATTTCACCTGGTATTTTAATCATTTCTGCTGGGAAAAATCGATATCTGCTTGAAACTCTCCTTAAGATAAAAAAGAAAATTATGATTTCTCTTTGAATACTTTCCATTTCTCTTTATTAGTGGAGAAACGGATGAAGCACTTCACCTGATATTTTAATCATTTCTGCTAGGAAAAATTGATATCTGCTTGAAACTCTCCTTAAGATAAAAAAGAAAATTATTGATTTCTCTTTCAATAATATCCTATTGTCCTTATTAGCGGAGAAATGGATGAACTAGTTCACCTGATATTTTAATCATTTCTACTAGGAAAAATCGATATCTGCTTGAAGCTCTCCTTCAGATAAAAAAGAAAGTTATTGATTTCTCTTTGAATATTTTCCATTTCTCCTTATTACAAGAGAAACGGATGAAGCACTTCACCTGGTATTTTAATCATTTCTGCTAGGAAAAATCGGTATCTGCTTGAAACTGCCCTTAAGATAAAAAAGAAAGTGATTGAATTCTCTTTGAATAATTTCCATTTCTCCTTATTAGTAGAGAAATGAATGAACCATTTCACCTGGTATTTTGATCGTTTCTCTTAGGAAAAGTCGATATCTGCTTGAAACTCTCTTCTTAAGATAAAAGAGAAAATTATGATTTCTCTTTGAATAGTTTCCTATTCTCCTTATTAGTGGAGAAATGGATGAACCATTTCACTTGGTATTTTAAGCGTTTCTTTAATTATTGATTTCTCTTTGAATAATTTCGATTTCTCTTTATTAGTAAGGAAATGGAGGAAGGATTTCACCTGGTACTTTAATCATTTCTGCTAGGAAAAATCGATATGGAGTAGAATGTCCGTTTGGCAGGAAGGAAGATTTGATCTTGAAAAGGATTTCCGCTTGGCTTTTTGTGGTTTAAGCATTTCTCCTTGAAGTGGAACAATTTCTCTTTGAGAGGGGGAAATGGTCCAGCCCTCTAATCGAAACACGTGTCTTGCTAGCGTTTGACTTGACTTTCTATAAGTCTTATCTTCAAACACACCTACACCCACACCCTCGAAAACGTTTATGGTAGCTTTACTCACCCCACCATTTCGAGACTTCTGCGATCTTCTCGATTTCTTCTCGACATTGACATATTCTGTTGAGAGTTTTGTTATTCTTATAAGATATGTTCATTGAATTTGAGAACAATATCGTAATGCAGACTTTTGAATTCCGAATCTACCTGATGATGGCCCTTAAGCAAGGTTGAAACGATCGTCGTAAGTAGCTTGGAATTGTCTTGATAATCTCACCCTCACCCACACGCTCAAGAATTTCTTTCGATTTGATTTCTTTTAACTTTTCTTATGCAGATAATTAAATCATCTGATGAGGCTTTGAAATTAAGTCGAAACACGTCGTGGTTCTCTCGTTTAAACTCACCTTCATCCACACCATCAGGTCAAAACGCGTCATGGTTCGCTTTGACTCACCCTCAATCCGGATTATAGCAGTTATCATTTAAACTCACTCTCAAGATACCTGATGAGTCCCTTAAGCAAGGACGAAATGTCGTATGATATGCTTTGAATCATTTCTCTTTAAACTCACTCGCAAGAAATGTTTCTTATCATCGAAATGATGCAAACTTAAGCAACTCCGTTTTACTGAATGAGTCATAACAACGATTATCTTTCTTCATTTGAACAAGAAAAGATGAAGAACAGATGAGAACTGAGTGGAAATTTCTCAAGGAATATCAAGTTTCGTCATACTCTCTAAGGGGATAATACCCACGGCGAATGTTTCGCGGCGTATAAAAGCGATATTTATCGTGCAAATGATACACAGTGTACTACGATTACACATTCTTAATATCATCGCTTCGAAGCCGTCGTTTTCATTTTTCCACAAGTTCACGTGGTGAAATGCCTTCTTCCACAGTCAATTCTTATTTACTTTATCTGCTCATCATTCTTATCTTAAGTTTACCGGTCTCAAGTGGAATGGGTAGTTATGCAGCATGTTTTGCTACCTGTATGGCTGTGTGCCAAGGTGAACCCGCTGCAGCGGCAGGTGTTGGAACCGGTTTTGTCTCAGGTGCTATGACTGGTGGTGTTGCAGCAATACCTGCCGCGATAACCGCTGGTACGGCCGCCGCAACCCCGTGCGCGGCTACATGTGCTGCTACTTGTGGATGGGCACTCCTACCTATGCTTCCCTAAGCTACAAAACAATGTAAATTCAAATGGAAAACAAACTGACCTGTATCTTGTTGAAAACACAAATTAATTTGCTGATCTCAACTCTTGCTTTTCAACAATCAAGTATTGTTGTCGAATAAAATTTAAAATTGTGCTTGAATATATAAACAAATTAAAAAAATGCAGATTTTTATTTCTTCCTAACTTACCTGATGATGAATGAGCTCCATTCGAAGGAATAATAATTTAGAAACTCATCCCACACTCTCAACACATATTTTTAGTACCTTCAATCAATGGTAAAACTTTCCATTTTAGATTAACAAATTATATTTGTCGAAAATTAAACAACAACTTCCGCCCACTAACTCACCAATTATCAATTCAATCCATCAATCTTTTAAGCAAAGACGAAACGCGTCGTAAGTATTGCTTGGAATATTTTCTCATAAACTCACCCTTTATAGGATTCTCTGCGATATACTGGATTTTTATCTTAATATCAGACTGCTGTTGAGAGTTTTTCTCTCTGCTAACTATTATTTATTTTAAGATATTATCTTATTGCAAATTATTATTCCAAACTTACCTAACGAGTTCCTTAAGCAAGGACGAAACGCGTCGTAAGCATTGCTTGGAATATTTTCTTATAAACTCACTCACACCCTAAAGATAGTACTGATTCTAAACATACCTGACGAAGATCTCTAGCAAAGATCGAAACGCGTCGTATGGTTGCCTGAATCATTCTTATGAAAACTCACGCCTCACCCGCACAATTCTATTTATATGCTGTATTTCTATCAGATACAATATCTTTCTCTCTCTGCCTTCATGCGCATATAAGCACTTCAGAGCATTACATTTCACCAGTGATAAAAATATCAAATCGTTCTCCGCCAAAAGCGAAGTAAACGAAGAGACCGGCTTCGACTGCCAAGATAAGGAACGAATGCATTTGTTGTCTCGGAGAATAATAGACGAAACATCGACTAAAAATAAAGACACCGACCGACTACAACAATAGTCACTGGCAACAACTTGCAACGACAGTTTAAAGGATAAAACAGGTAAGATGAATACATTACACTGCTGATACGATTGAGTCGTGTTTTTCGAACTTTTGATTATGCAGATAGTTTCCAAAGTGGTAAGTTTCTCCTTCAAGAGTGCTACCACACCAACAAGATAAACTGGTGCTCACGAAAAGACTCTAAACAACAACAGCATGGTGTTACAGCATTCTGAGCAAAGCACTCTCGAGAATTTCATTGTCATCTGGCTGGATCCAGATATCAATGAATCTGATGCAGGCTTCCAACATTCTATCAATCAACTTCGACGCATTGTTAATTCGATAAAAACTTTCGTTCACGCTGATCAATGTATCGATTATCTTACTGATATAAAAAATGAAAAAGCGTTTATGATTGTGTCTAGTACTCTTAGTCAACAACTCGTACCACTCATTGAAGACATACCTCAGCTCTCTGATATCTATATATTCTGTCCCCATCAGACCACGCATGAGCAATGTATCAAAGACTATCAAAAAGTAAATGGCATCTTCATTAAAATTGAACCTTTATGTGATATCCTCAAACGAGACGTCCACCAGGCTGACATCGATTTGACACCAATTAGCATAATTTCTGTATCATCTGTCATTGATTTGGATCAACTTGATCAATCATTTATGTACTCACAATTACTTAAAGAAATTCTTCTCAAAATGAAACAGCCTGAAAAAGCAAAGAAAGAATTCATTGACTTTTGTAGAAAACACCATGTTGAAAATACATCAGCGCTCCGCGTGATTGATGAATTCGAACGAGACTATGATCAACCATCACCTATTTGGTGGTATACTCGAGATTGTTTCATTTATTCGATGCTCAACAAAGCACTGCGTACTCAAGACATTGAGATTATCATCAAAATGGGCTTCTTTCTTTGTGCTCTTCATCGACAAATTGAGCATCTGCATTCAAGCTTAGATATTCGAAGTCCGGTGATCGTTTATCGAGGTCAAGGTATGTTCAAGACTGAATTTGAGAAGATGCAAAAGAGCGAAGGTGGTCTTCTCTCATTTAACAACTTTCTATCAACGAGTATTGATCGGCAAGTCTCATGTGCGTACGCGGAAAGCGCTCGTGGAGATCCAGAACTGACAGGTGTTCTTTTTCAAATAGAAATCGATCCATCAATTTCAACGACTCCATTTACACCATTAGACAATATTAGTTATTTCTCAGATTCCGAGAAAGAAATTCTGTTCTCAATGCACTCTGTGTTCCGAATTGGTGAAAGGAAACAAATCGAGAATCGATTGTGGGAAGTGAAACTGACATTGACTAGTGCTAACGATGAGCAGTTGAATCGTCTTACGGACTACATACGCGACGAGTTGGGAGATGCAGATGAATGGTCTCAACTAGGCTATTTAATGTACAAATTTGGTGAGATCAATAAAGCCGAAGAAATTTACAAAACCATATGTGAGTCGATACCAGACAATGATTTAGCTGCCAAGGCGTGTCTTTACAGTATTTTGGGAGGCATCACAATTCTAACGAATGATCAAAACACTAGACTTTCATATCTCAAAAAGGCACTCGAAATCTCCCAAAACCCTTTTCTGTCTAATGATCCCGCTTTAGCCGTCACACACAACAATATTGGTTCTATCTATAAATCGATGGAAGAGTTTCCAAATGCACTTTCACACCTCGAGAAGGCGCTCGAAATTCAACAAAAATGTTTGCCGAGTGATCATCCTAGTATAGCTATTTCATTCGACAACATTGGTGAGGTGCATCGATTAATGGGTGAGTATTCGACTGCACTCTTACACTATGAGAAGGCGCTCAGAATATGGCAAAAATCAGTTCCACCTAATCATCCCGATCTTGGCACTTTACACAACAATATTGGACTGGTGCATCAATTAATGAAAAACTATTCAACTGCTCTCTCACACTACGAAAAAGCTCTTAGAATATCGCAAAAATCACTTCCACCTAATCATCCTCATATACCCATACTGCATCACAACATTGGTTGGATATATGAGTCGATAAAAGATCATTTTATGGCACTTTCACACTTCGAAAGGGCGCTCGAGATACAACAAAAATCACTTTCACCTAATCATTCTGATATAGCTACTTTACACAGTAATATTGGATTGGTGTATCAATTAATGGAAAACTATTCAGCAGCGCTGACAAATTACGAAAAGGCTCTCGAAATATCGCAAGAATTACCTGCATCTAATCATCCTGATATAGCTACTTTACACACTGATATTGGATTGGTGTACTATTTCATGGAAAATAATTCAGCTGCACTTTTGCATGCCCAAAAGGCGCTCGAAATATGGCACAAAACCGTTCCGCCTAGCCATCACAAGGAAGCTATGATCCACAGCTTCATAGCAATACTTTGTCACAAGCTCCATCGCTACGAAGAGGCTGTACAACATGCTATAAAAGAAGTCGACATTCGTACTCGTGTTTTTGGGTCTTCTGATCCCCATTTACAGGGCGCTCACAAGCTGCTCGAAAGACTATTGAGTGGAGAGCGATAGTGGTGTAGTTATCAAACCAAGGTGTACTTTTTTATGGATTATTTGTTTTTCTTTTTCTCTATTTTATTTACCATCAATCTTAGAGGCCAGGAATTGGAAAAAATGGTCGATTTTGCATTCAGATAAAAAAATTCTTCGCAGGGAAATGATTAAGGGTGGGTGTGGGTGTGAGTGTGGATGAGAGTGTGGGTGTGGGTGAGAGTGTGGGTGTGGGTGTGGGTGTGGGTGTGGGTGTGGGTGTGGGTGTGGGTGAGAGTGTGGGTGTGGGGTGTGGTTGTGAGGAAAATGTACACTCACACCCCACACCCACACCCACACCCACCCGAAATGTGTGTCCACTTTTGAGCCACTCGAAAGTGTTTACGATAAGTCGAAATCTATGACTGAGGACCAGAGTTTCCTGCTCTTGCAGGATATGCTCTTAGAAATTTTTCTTCGATTTTTGTTTTGAAGTAGTGAAATAATCTTTGAAGAGTTCAAAAGAATTAGTTTATACAAAACTGGTGGAATAAATTTTCGGTGAATATGTTTCTGCATTTTTGTCTGCTCGAAAGCATGCCAATCATGGCAAAATCTGTAGGTTTTGATCACAATTTTGTGCTCTTTTTAGATATGAGTTTAGGAATGTTGTGTCTCTTCTTGTTTAAGTGTATTATGAAATTTTTTGAAAGGCTCAAGAAATGATATTTAATATTGACTAAACAGATCTTTGTTTACCCTATAGGTTCCTTTCAGCCATGCTGAAAATTATCGATGTCGGTTGTTTTGTAGAGGTGATACTTCTCTACAATATTTGATGCTACAAATGAGCTGCAGCTTTTACCCAAATGAAGCTACAACTGTTTTAACAGTAGCTTCTTTGAACGTCAAAAAGGCTTATGTCAAAGATCTGATTTTTTCAAAAATGAGCATTTAGGAAAAAAAAGAACATTGACTCGTCTTGTTGAAAAACAAACAAATACTGAAATAATGCATCTTGTAGGCTAGCTTCTGATCGCCAAGCTCATATATAAATAAACATCTCAACTTTCGTTTTGAATCAGAATGGTTTAGAGAAGATTCAAAAGGTGTGCCGAAACATTTTGTGCAACCGAAATTTTTGAGCTCTTCAAAGATTGTTTCATTATCTCAGAACATAAATCGAAGAAAAAATTCTAAGACTATATTCTGAAAGAGCACAAAATTTTGATCCTATATTATAGATTTCAACTGGTCGTAAACACTTTCTAGCTACTCAAAAATGGACAAACATATTGCCCAAAAACTTTTCGATTAGTACGGAGTGCAAAAAAAAGTGCCCCCTTGAGATTAAAATGTAACTAAATATTTATTTATAATTATAAATGAGCTAGATTATACACCAACAGTAACAATAGTGAATGTGCAAATATACAATATATACAACAATAATTTAATACAATCTTACAATTGA